TAATTTCAAGGGATAGGAATATTGGAGGTGGGTGGGAAGCATGTCTCTTGGCAAAGGATGGCATCCGTTCTCAAGACTGAAGAGAAGAAATCAAGTGACTAGCTGATTTGTTCAGTAGAGCTTTTAAAACTGAACGGAGAAGTGGGAAGAAAAGAAGCCTCAAACAATGGCTATTTATTTCGGAGGCCAGCGGATTGGAAAACAAAATAAGCATAGTAGATTTCCCATGAATCACAGAGTCCTTTCCCTTTGGAAAGGAAATTAGAAACAATGCTGATGGCCTAGAAGCAGGACTGTCCCATAGAAATACAGCACAGACCACGTAATAGAACATAAAATTTTTGGTAGCCACATTTAAAAAGAGAGAAAGAAACAGGTTAATAATATATATATTCTTTAACCCAGTAGATCTAAATTATCATTTCAACCTGTAATCAATACTTAAAGATTATTATTGAAATTTTTACTTTTTTTTTTTTTTTTTAATACCAAGTCCCTCGTCATGGCCACATAACTGGTGCAGAGGTACCATGCACAGGAGTGGCGTGCTCACTCTGAGCTCACATCGGCTAGGCCTCCCAACTGTTAAGGTAGAAAATCAAACAAGTATTCTCATTGGTTGGCAACCCTCAGCATCTCTTAGAGTGTAGGGAGGAAACATCTGGGAGAACTGTTACTTTAACCCAAAATATTTCCCAAAATGACAGCATTAATAAGTTAAGTGAAAGTGGCTGAGATCTTGAAAGAAAATGAGTTGGTGAGCCCCGTACAGGAAACTTGAACTTAGATGTTTCTAGACTAGAAAGTATCAAAGGAAAGGTAGGCAGGTATTCTTGTGACTGTGGCAGAGATGGTGACTCAGAAGCATTAATTTAACTCTGACTGTTATGCTAAAGAAAGATACAGTGGGAAGACCCAGTGGGTCTTCTGATGAAAGCTTTCTGATGACTCAGATTTTAAGGGGGTACTTTCAAAAGATGGAAAGTTAGAGTAGCAAGCAAGGGTGAATATGTGTAAGAGTTGTGTTGGGGGTTGCAACATAAAACAAACAGACTTGCAAAACAACAGGCAGATTGAAAGAGCCTTCAGAACTTGGTTTGGTGCAGTTCCAGTGACTGGGAAAAGAATCTCTGCTTTGGACTACTTGTATTTGTATTAAATGATTAAATGGAAATTAAGTTAAATTAAGTGAAAATAAAATTTTTACTGCTTTTGTCTTCTCCATTAAGAACAAAGATGTTTGGGCGCCTGGGTGGCTCAGTCAGTTGGGCATCTGCCTTCAGCTCAGGTCATGATCCTGGGGTCCTGGGATCGAGTCCCACATCGGGCTCCCTGCTCAGCGGGGAGTCTGCTTCTCCCTCTGCCTGCCACTCCCCCTGCTTGTGCTCTCTCTCTCTGTGTCAAGTGAATAAATAAAATCTTTTAAAAAAAAAAAAACAAAGATACTCAAAAGGGTTAAGACAAATTAAATCCTACAACAGAGAAAGAATTTGTGAAAAGAATTGCCAAGCCCTTCTGTGATCTTTGAGGAAGTCTGGGGATCTTCAAGGGGAGTTTAATAATGACAACTCCTCTTTCTTGCACAAATCCTGAATTTTTAAGATGAAGGCATGTGGGGTCAGAATACCCCTTTACTACTGAGAAAGCTGATCTCGGAGAATGTGAGCTTCCTAATACTGAATTACAAACCTAGCCAGCAGTAACTGGAATGGGGCAACCCTCCCTATAGGTTTGCTGCCAAAAAGAAAGGGCAGGAGGCCCAGAGTGTTATGAGCAAGGTGGGCACTGACAAGGAAGTGAGGAGAATGGGGAAGTTTTTAAAATAATTTTTGAAACAATAAGGGAAGTGGTTTAGACTGATGAACTTGGTGCTAATTCTAGGCAAGATTCTAGACTAGATATCAAAAATACGGCTTTTTGAGCACCTGTGATAAGAAATCAAGAATCATAAATTTGCTAACAAGTCTTAACTGATTTTCTTTATTAGTTAAAAAATCTTGGATTATAAGAATGATACAGTTGTTGTCGAAATCTCTATTTTGACAAGCCATTTGACAAGCTGTCTCTGTTTTAGACAAGATGTATAAATACAACTTAAATGCTAAAACAGTTGTGTGGATTAGTAAACGATCGACTATTCCCAGCCCAATCACTTTTGGTTGGAAAGAAGTTTTTACTGACATGCTACTAGATTATCCTCAAGCTCTGTCAAGTTCAAGATCCCCATCAATGACCAGATAGGGAAACACAAACTGGGAATAAGTAGAATAATAGGTTAAAAAAGAATTTGGTGGACTAACTGTTAATAAGTTAACATACAATATTCATGGGGTACCTGGCTGGCTTATTAGGTGAAGCATGCAACTCTTGATCTCAGGGTAATGAGTTCCAGCCCCACAATGCGTGTAGAGATTACTTCAAAAAAAATTTTAGGCACCTGAGTGGCTCAGTCGATTAAGCATCTGCCTTCAGCTCTCAGGTCATGATCCCAGAGTCCCGGGATTGAGCCCTACATTGGGCTCCCTGCTCAGCAGGGAGCCTGCTTCTCCCTCTCCCTCTCCCTCTGCTGCTCCCCCTGCTTGTGCTCTCTCACTCTGTCAAATAAATAAATAAAATCTTTAAAAAAAAAAATTAAATCTGGGGCGCCTGGCTGGCTCAGTCATTTAAGCACCCAACTCTTGATTTCATCTCAGGCCATGATCTCAGGGTTGTGAGATCGAGCCCCAAGTCAGGCTCTGCACTGGGCGTGGAGGCTGCTTAAGATTCTCTCTCTCTGGGACACCTGGGTGGCTCAGTTGGTTAAGCGTCTGCCTTCAGCTGAGGTCACGATCCCAGGGTCCTGGGATCAAGTCCCACATCAGGCTCCTTGCTCAGCGGGGAGCCTGCTTCTCCTTCTGCCTGTTGCTCCCCCTGCTTGTGCTCTTTCTCTCTATCTCTCTTGATCTCTGACAAATAAAGTCTTAAAAAAAAAATTCTCTCCTTCCTCCCTCCTCCTTGTGCTTGCTTGCTCTCCCCCCCAAAAAAATTAACTCTTTTTAAAAATTAAATCTTAAAAAAAATAAAATAGGGGCGCCTGGGTGGTTCAGTCAGTTAAGCGGCTGCCTTCGGCTCAGGTCATGATCCCGGGGTCCTAGGATCGAGCCCCACATCAGGCTCCCTCCTCAGTGGAGAGCCTGCTTCTCCTTCTCCCTCTGCCTGCAGCTCTGCCTGCTGGTGCTCTCTCTCTATCTCTGTCAAATAAATAAATAAAATCTTTTAAAAAATAAATAAATAAAAATAAAATATATTCATTTATTTAATAGATATTTATCAAGCATCTACTATGTGCCATGCACATAAAGATAAGATCCTAAGATCAAATCGTAAGTTAATACAATTCAACCCAGCTGCTTAAATATTACATAGGAGAGCAAAACCTTTTTAAAATATTGTAGATTTTAATTGACAGTAAGCTTAGTGTGTGAGTTGGGAGTTAGGATGCGATCATCAGAGAAACAGAGATCTCAGGCATTGTTAGTAAAAGTCTGGCTTTTAACAGAATGGTTAGTGATGGCCAGGTCTAGTTGGTACTCGACCGCTCTAGAAAATGGCTTTCTGTTCTGGGCTCTGCATTGAGAAATTGGATGAGATACGCATGAAAGAACTCATCATGTTTAGTCTGAAGATGAGACACAAAGAACTGTAATTGTCTCTAGACATTTGAAGAGCTGTCCCTGTGGAATAACATGAGCATTTATGAAGTGCATTTCTAAGCCTTTGATGTGGATTAACTCATAACATCCTCAATCACTGAAGTTAGGAAAATGAGGCTCAGAAGGGCTAAGTATGTAACTTGCCCCGAGTCACACACCTTAGAAATGGCAGCCCACACAGTCTGCCTCCAGCACTACACACTTGACCAGTGTGCAGCCTGCCACCCATGGAAGATTAAGTTTGTTCTCTGTGGTACCAGCTGATTCAGTGAGTTCAGAGAATGAAAGTGCAGGGGAACTCATTTCAGCTCAGTGAAAACATCGTAGACCAGCAGTCCGAAGGTGGGAGGGGGTCTCTTCTCTGCCCCTGAAGGTTCTGCAGCCTAGCCTAGCTCACTCCTGAAAACCGTGGGGAAGGAACGGGTTGACTCATTTGACCTTTTAGGCTCCTTTGCTCTGCTCTCTTGGACTCCGAGTGTTTGGTATGAGAAGTCATGAATTGAAACTCCAGTATCTCTTATTTACAGGCATGTGGGGCCAAAATATCCCCTTTACTACTGAGAAAACTCATCTTTTTTGTACAACAGAAATACTTTGTTTTAGGCTTTATTATTTTTATGAAGTTTGATATATTTTCTTTCCATTTCCAGTAACAATTTCTCAGGCAAGAGTCATATTGTCACTAAAACATTTTGTCTTGCAGAAGTCTTCCTGATTGTAAATTCATAATTTTTATTGCAGAAAAATTAGAAAGCCTAGGAAGAGAATTTAAAAGCTCTTTTTCTAAAAAAGATTTTATCTTGGGCGACTAGGTTCAGTCGTTTAAGCATCTGCCTTCTGCTCAGGTCATGATCCCGGGATCAAGCCCCGCATCGGACTCCCTGCTCAGTGGGGAGTCTGTTTCTCCCTCTCCCTCTGCCTGCCGCCCCCTCCCCTTGTGCTCTCTCTGTCTGTCAAATAAATAAATAAAATCTTTAAAATTTTTTTAAAAATAAACTAAAAAGATTTTATCTTTAGGTAATCTCTACTCCCAACATGGGGCTCGAACTTACAACCCCCAAGATCAGGAGTTGCATGCTCCACTGATTGAGCCAGGCAGGAGCCCCTGAAAGCTCTTATAATCTCACCACTCAGAGATAACCATTGTTAACACTTTAGTGTATTTCTCCTGATCATTTAATATTTTTCACAAATATTTTTCAAGGAAAACCATTGATGCTTGCTTTAGACCTATTAAGACCTTTTTACAGAAAAAAAAAAGTTTCATTTTGGTAAGTTCTGAAAAATGCATCTTTTTTTTCTTGCTAGGTTTCTGCCTCAATGCTCAAGCAGTTTCCCAACAGTGGCCTGAATCCAGGTCTTTTCAATGTGGGGCCCCAGTTATCTCCTCAACAAATTGCCATGCTGAGCCAGCTTCCACAAATTCCCCAGTTTCAATTGGTGAGTAGCAGATTTTCCTCCTATAGCTAAAAAAAAAAAAAAAGGTTATTTGCTTTTTTTCCCCCCCTTTAACTTCGATTTGCTTCATTTTATGCATGCTTAAGGGTTAATGTCTCAGCTCCACTCGAGGTAAATGTGACCAGTGGACCAGGACCTGGGTAGTACTTCCCTCCTAGGTGCTTGATTCCGCCGCCGCACTCGGGCGCACGACCCGTGAGGGTCTCAGTAAGTCCAGTTAGGAGCCGGTGCCCCCCCCTGTGTTGTAGGCGTGTCAGCTTCTCCTGCAGCAGCAGCAGCAGCAGCAGTTGCTGCAGAACCAGAGGAAGCTCTCGCAGGCTGTGCGCCAGCAGCAAGAGCAGCAGGTACGCGGGATTGGGGGGTCCCCCTAGTGCTCTGTGCGAGGACTGCAGGGCTGCGCCTCTGAGAGCAAAACAGCCACATGCAGTCTCTTCGGGGAGGCTCAGGGCGTTGGCTTACCATGTGTCCGTCTTCCCTCTGGGTCCCCCTGGCTCTGGACTCCTGGCCTCCAGCTGGCTCGGATGGTGAGCGCCCTGCAGCAGCAGCAGCAGCAGCAGAGGCAGCCTGGCATGAAGCACTCGCCCTCCCATCCCGTTGGGCCCAAGCCACATCTGGACAACATGGTACCCAGTGCTCTGAATGTGGGGCTCCCAGACCTTCAAACCAAAGGGCCAATACCTGGATATGGTTCTGGTAAGTGGTCAGTAGTGAAGATCACCTTTAAAAAAAATGTGCCAGTCGTGTGCTGAGCCTCTGGTAGAGATGGGTCCTACGTGACCCCCTGTTTCCATAGCAACCATACGAGAGGGAGAAGTGTTCTCATCCCTGTCTTAACAGCTGATATCCTAGCGTCTTGGCGGTTTTCCAAAGCTGACCACACAATTAGGAAATCGCAGAGCTATGCCTCCGACTTCTCTGGGTCCAGGGGAGACTTACTATTTAGCAATGGCAACCTGCTCTTCTGCCATCAGGAATTTTTAAAAGCCAGTTAAAACAGGGCGCCTGGGGGGCTCAGTCGGTTAAGCATCTGCCTTCGGCTCAGGTCATGATCCCAGGGTCCTGGGATCGAGCCCCACATCGGGCTCCCTGCTCAGTGGGGAGCCTGCTTCTCCTTCTCCCTCTGCGACTCCCCCTGCTTGTGCTCTCTGGCTCTCTCTCTCTCTGTCAAATAAATAAATAAAATCTTAAAAAAAAAAAAAAAAGCCAGTTAAAACGTTTGTACGCTCTGTGAGTGCCCCACGCGTCTGAGGTTATAATCTGTTAAAATAATGTACAAGCTGAGGTGTTTAGCTCTACTGATAGAATTTCCTTCTTGTGGAAAAATGGAGAACTAAAATGAAGCTTATGGGGCACCTGGGTGGCTCAGTTGGTTAAGCGACTGCCTTCGGCTCAGGTCATGATCCTGGAGTCCCGGGATCGAGTCCCACATCGGGCTCCCTGCTCGGCAGGGAGTCTGCTTCTCCCTCTGACCCTCTTCCCTCTCGTGCTCTCTATCTCTCATTCTCTCTCTCTCAAATAAATAAATAAAATCTTTAAAAAAAAAAATAAAAAAATAAAATGAAGCTTATGAGGCAAACTGATAAAATTCTTCTGATATTAATATTTCATCTGATTTAAATAGAATTAGCACAAGTAAGGTTATACCTTTGACATTCATCAAGAATTTGTTGGCAGGCAAATGGTAGCTCTTTCAGAACTGGGAAACATGTTGTAAGCAGAATCCAATCAGTGAGGCAACAGTGACTTAAAAATAAAATGTAAAAATTAAAAAGGTACCACACACCACAGTGGGTTTCTTCGCAGAGTGACAAAATTCAGGTTTTATTTTGGTAAAGAAGATACTGTTCTGTGCAAACTCAAAAATAAGAGTTGGGGAGACCTGAAACCCATGCTCCTAGGAAACAGAGTGACCCTGGACACATAGCCCTGTTCTCTGCTCTAGTTCTGTGGGGTGCCCACTTCCTGCTGGGGTGTCCACATGCAGAGAGGAGCAGAGACTTCAAGGATGCCTTGATCCTGATCCTGGATAGTTTTAAGGGAATTTTATCCACCAATGGCACTGTTTCTTTAAAATGATCTGCCTGAGAACTGACTTAAATTCAAAATAACCTTTCTTCCAACTGACATGAAAGAAGAGCAAACTCTCCACCAGCTCCTGTATTACTAGGGCATGCCCATCCATCTTGGGTGTAGAAATCCTGGGTGCTGAGCAAGGGGGAAGCCTCCCATAATGACTAATGAAGGTGTCATTAACTCTGTATTTCCAGGCTTCACCTCCTTAATCATGTTTTCTGTTAAGGATGAAACTTGACGTAAGAACCTGGGTATTTTGGTATGTGTCCAGTTACTGTGAATTTAGATGCCGTCTATGAGAATAAAGCAGGGCAGCTTTGCTTCTTCCATCCCCTTTTGTTAGAGAGTGCATGGTTCTCAAAGTAGAATCTAGTCATACAAAGTAAAGTGAACATCTGGAAGCCCTGGGCGGCTTTTCCACACGTTTAAATGCACAGTTCTTTTTAGCTCTTTTCTGTACTCATCCCTTAGGGGGCATGTCTTAGGTAGAAAGAAAAGTATCTTCAAACAACTTGAGCAACATAGGTTAGTGACACAGACACTCTTAAATACACATGTTTTTCACAATTTATCAGATAAAACCTGTGAATAGACCTTTTATGTGCTTTTCTTTAGGCTGCGTGTGCATTAGTCAATTAGTTGTTAAAAACCTAACATCATGATGTATTTGTTCCAGTGACAATTCTTACAACATCTGTAATATTTTCTGCCTTTTGTTAAAAAGTAAAATTACAGGGGGATGGGGGGAGAAAGTGAAATTATATGCTAGCTGTGAATCTGTTAGTTTTTAGCAGCATACCTTCTCATTTATCAAATATATAGAAAATTTTTATCGTAATGTCTTATTAGATTAGTGGTGTTATTTGTGATTATTGTACTGGAGGCATAACTTTCCCTGATGGCTGAAGGATCAGAGTTCTAGATACATACAAACATACATACATACATTTACCAAGGAAATGAGTGTTTTTTTTTTTGGTCATACTCTTATTTCAAAGTAACTTATAAATTTAACTATGCATTATAGTCCAAATTAAGTAAGGAGAAAAACATATTGACTCGCTAATTTATTTCCATTTGGTAACATGAATAAATTTTATTAGGTCTTTATCATATTAATTGTGATCTGACCACTTATGACCTGCCTTATAAGATGCACTTTGCAATTTCACAGTTAAAAATGTCCTTAATTCCTTAATATTATGACTTTTATTTGAATCGAAAAATACATTTTGGGATTGAAAGTAAATCCGATCTGGCTGCCTGTTTTGAATAAACTACAGCTATAAGATTTTGCTGAAAATATATTTAACGCATACAGAGAGGTTAAATTTATATAGCAAAGATGTAAAAAATGAATAGTATTTCAGTTTTCCTACTGCTGAGTATTAAACTAAAAAAGACACCTGTAGATGAAAGAGGAGCGCGAATAATTAAAAGTCCCTTAGTAAGTCCCAGTAAAGCCTCTTTTGGTATATTTTCTCAAAATTAAAACGTTGAATGAGTTTAACGACTGCTTAACTGATCCTTGACTGATTGTTTTTATAAAATAGATGGTTTCTCATTCTCTACTTTTAGCAGAATTGAAAATATACCTAACTGAATTGTCTGGGGATGATGACCTATCTAAACATGATGTTTTAGCATCTATGTTATTGAGCTGAGGGGAAGGGAATATAGCCTAAACGGGAATTCACAGAAATAGGTGATGTTATAACAAGACTCCTTCTTTTCCTGTCTAATTACTTATATAAGATTTCTTGGGTGCTTTTTTTCTATTGGAATTTAAAAAACAGGAATAGTGTGAACTCCATCTCATATCTCTCATTCATAGGTATCTGAACCATTTGAGAAGTAAAGTCCCTTGTCTTATTAGAAAATGTCCCAGGGCACCTGGGTGGCTCGGTTGGGCATCTGACTCTTGGTCTTGGCTCAGGTCTTGATCTCAGGGTCGTGAGTTCAAGCCCCATGCTGAGTGTGGAGCCTACTTAAAAAAGCCTACTTAAAAAAAGAAAAAGAAAATGTACTTCCAATAAAATTTTACTTTTCATGTTTAAAATTTATCAAAATTTGGTGGCGCCTGGCTGGCTCAGTTGGTAGAGCTTATGACTCTTGATCTCAGGGTTGTAAGTTTGAGCCTCGTGTTGGGTAGAGATTACTTTAAAAAAAAAAAAAAAGGAATATTTGTTTTAAATGGGCAACTGTGGGTGATCTGTTTCTTTTATAACATATTTTTATTATTATAAAAGCACTGATTTGTTTTTTAATCTATAGTAAAAGGAAAAGCGGGAAAGAAAGAACTAATATAGACAAAAAGCATGAAACAGGAAATCCCAGTTTCCTCAAGGAGGTGACACTGAGCCAAGTGGTAATGATGAATAAATAGACAGTGAAACAGCGTGTGTGGCAAAGAAAGTAATTCTGACCAGGATAGATAAGGGAGGCTAAGGGTTGGATTTGTAGGAATGATAAGATCGGTAAAAGGGATGTACTGGGGAAATGAGTTCCTAGGAGAGCAAGGGGCATGTCTTATTTCTGTTTGTCCCTCAGCTCCTCACAGAGCCTGGCACAAATGAGGCTTTCCGTGAGTGTGCACTGAACTGAACTGAAGGATTGTTTGATTTGAGCTCAAGTTCTGTTTGGTGAGCTGGAGAATTACAGGGAGGTCACTTGGTGGACCGAGGAAGTGTGGTTTTGATGAAGTAGCAAGGACAAAAAGGTCCGTACTTAACTGGGCTTTGAGGTGTGGCAGCTCACAAATAGTGTAGAGGTTGTGAGTCGTGCCGGTTACTACGGGGCATCAAAGAAAGACACAGAACCATGTACAGCCTTGCACTGATTCTTCCTCTCCTGGTTTTGGGTTCGGAGATTAAACCTTTCAAGGCAGTTTTATCTCCTGTTCTCCTGACATCCCTCTGGGTGTTTCCTTACCAAACTTTGTTACTTAGTTATGATGCTGCCATGCTTTGGTGGTGTTTGGTTTCCAAGTTTCTAACGAGAAAGATGCCCACTTAAGGTTCAGATGGAACTGTTCAAACTGTCCCCTCATCCTAAGACGTAGAACTCTTACTAATTTTCTACGCTTCACATGTCACAAAAGGACTCTAAGCAGCTGAAATTAAATAATTGTAATTCACTGTGGGTTCTAAAGACATTTCAGAGCAACTGTAAAGAAGTAATGTGGGGGCACCTGGGTAGCTCAGTTGGTTAAGCGTCTGCCTTCAGCTCAGGTCATGATCCTGGAGTCCTGGGATCGAGTCCTGCATCAGGTTCCCTGCTCAGCGGGAGGCCTGCTTCTCCCTCTCCTTCTGCCATTCCCCCTGCTTGTGCTCTCTCTCTCTCTGTCAAATAAATGAATGGAATCTTTAAAAAAAAAAAAGAAAGAAAAGAAATGTGTAAGGAATGATTCTTTATCTTCTAACTAATCCTCACGTTCTTTCTAATCTTCACCAGAATTCTAGGTTATTCTCAGAAGCTCTCCCTCCATGATTGGAACCAAGCTTTCGAATAGCCTGGAATCCAGGCACCTTGGGTTGGTTTTCTCTGTCAAAGGTAGAGGTACTACTTGCCCAAAACAACCCACTTAGGCCATTAAAGCTTCTGTGAGAGGGGGCGCCTGGGTGGCCCAATTAGTTAAGTGTCTGCCTTCAGTTCATGTCACGATCCCAGGGTCCTGGGATTGAGCCCCACATTGGGCTCCCTGCTCAGCAGGGAGCCTGCTTCTCCCTCTCCCTCTGCCTTTCGCTCTGCCTACTTGTGATCTCTCTCTTTCTGTGTGTCAAATAAATAAATAAAATTTAAAAAAATAATAAATAAAGCTTCTTTCAGAGAAAGGCCTTATTCCTTTCAACCCTGCTATCCTCCAGTCTCATTTCAACTACATAAGAGGAAAGAAAATACCTTAAACTCTTCTTTTTTAAAAAATCATTTAATTTGAAATATTTCCAGCTTATTCCAGGAATTTCTGCTCCCCACCCCCACCCTTCAAGTAATCACATGGACTAGTAAAGTTGCTTATAGTGTGAAGGAGCAGTGTTCTTTATATTAATAGCAACATTTTAAATACAGGTCAAGGTGTTAGGAATGGATTTATTATGCATTTATAGAACTGTCTCTAACAACTCAGAAGCACAGGGAGAAAACGTGACCTGGGCCCTCATGGGATTTGGATAAATGGAACCTCAGAGTCATTGAGGCACCACCAGATGGTCAGAGAGTCAAGTGGGTACAGCGAGGAGCTTGGCCTAGCTGGAGTGGCACATCTTCTCGAGTAACAGTAGACGGGCTTTTGACTCCTGTAGCTGACTGAGCTTTTACATTGTGGGACCCCTGCTCACCTCCCCGGGATGGCTGTTCTACACTCACTGCAGTCCATCCTCATTTTTACTCTGGCTATTCATTGTTCTCCCCCTCCTGTTTCATTTGTTTATTTTCGTGCTTCATTTTACTTTTTATGTTAGGTACATTGTGACCCATAGTGGACAGTGGGACCTGTGAGACCCCCCATCAGCAAGCCTCTCTTACTGATTCTCACCTGTTCAGCCCTGTGCAATGGGAAGACATTACCCACCTACACTCATGCTAAAAGCCTGACACCTGAGGCTTATCTGGGGCTCATGGCAAAGTAAACTCTGAAGCTCTCCGTCATTGCCTGTTCAGGCTTTAGGGTCTTCGTCATTGCATAAAGATTTCTTTCAAATCTCTTATGTTCTGCCTTGACCTCCATGTACCCCATTTTTGTACTGCCAGTTCTTTTTCTAAAATACAAACTTTTTTTTTTAAGTTTATTTATTTTTAGTAATCTCTACACCCAATGTGGGGCTCAAACTCATGACCTTGAGATTAAGAGTTGCTTGCTCTTCCAACTGAACCAGCCAGGCGCTCCCTAAAATACAAACTTAGTTTTCTTTCTCTCACTTGTTAAAAAACTTCTTTATCTCCTGTCTTAGAGATAAAAGGCCCAAAGTCTTTGGCCTGATACATAAAGAACCTTACAGGACATGACTCCTCATTTCTCCCCCATCTCCTGTCACTCTGCCTCACTTCATCCATGGTTAACCATGGAGTCACACTGAACTCCTCATTCCCTAAATGTACCAGATGGTCATCAATCAGAGCTTTGTACTTGGTATCCTTGACTTACTTGCATACCTGCCATCGGCCCTAAATCAAATGTCCCTTCTGCAAAGCCTTTCTGCCCCCCAGACACCCTCACCACACCTCGTGGCTGTTGTTCTACCATTACTAGTTTGATGTGTGGAGATTGGCTCTCTGAGTTGGCGAATTCCTGGCCCCGGCATTCTGGCTAGCACAAACATTAGCTAAATGAGTAAGTGAAGGCACAGGTGCACTGTGATGCTCTCAATTACGGCAGTCCTACACATTTTCATACCTGCACAAAGAGTCATTGCTTTCTTTAGCAAGCAAGAGCCAAGATGAGCATTTTGAATCAAAATCTCTGTTTCTGAGTAAAGAAATTTCTTGTGAATTAGTCTTTAAATGACAAATGAAGCTATCATTTGGTTGGTTCTACCTCAGATCTCTTGGATGCTGATATTTGAAATATATAGGAAGATGTGAAATGTGCTTCTCTGTTTTAGGCTTCAGCTCTGGCGGCATGGACTATGGCATGGTTGGTGGGAAGGAGGCTGGAACAGAGTCTCGCTTTAAACAGTGGACCTCCATGATGGAGGGACTGCCCTCTGTAGCCACACAGGAAGCCAATATGCACAAAAATGGTAAGAGCAAAGCCTTACAAGTTGGAGCTGTATGGCCCTCACGGGCCTTGATGATGTATCCTGTAAAATTATTTTAAAGTACAGATCTCTAGCTTTTTCTTAATCTCTTGGTTTTTCCTCCAAATCCAGTGATCGCCTAAGAGAAGAAGATTGGGGTTATGTATATTTCAAATTATAAGAAACTTAAAATGCTAGTTGTAATTAAGGGGAACAAAATTGCCCATCTGTAATGGGATTGAGAGCAGTAGCAGTGAACTTGAGTACCCATTAGGATGAAACCCTAATATACTGGCTGAGAGACAAAACCCACTTTTTTTGAGGTGTAAGAGATCACAACAAATATATACCATGTTGATTATTCAAACCCTTTAGTCTCCAAAAGATGACTAATAGTGCATGAGATTTGAACTTTCCACAAAGCTTTCTTGTTTTGTTTTGTTTTGTTTTTTTAGCTTTCTTGTTCTTAATGAATTATAGTGTCTACAGGACAACAGCTGAGGGGCATCACAGGCTTTGGTTGTGAATGGTGGGCCCTTCATTTCCATTGTTCTCTGTAAACACTTCTCTGTGTCCCTGTAAAACAGATAAAAGGTCTTAGAACATTCCTTCAACCTTTCTTTCAATGTTTATATCATTGGACAGTAATTCACCTGGACTCAACTGTAGCCTTGAGATCCAAGTATACCTGGGTGTTGGGCTCATCCTGACGCAGTTCCCTGGCAGGCCTCAGCCCCACGGGTCTGAAAACTTTCAGGGTTCCTTTATAAACCACTCTTGAATGTGTCTGTCCGAGAGACGGTAAAATGGCCACATGGAGCTCTTCCCTGCTCTCCCTAAGATTTCATGCCACAAAATCAAGAATGATTTATTGAAACTATAAAATCTATCTATAGACTGAATAATTCAAGCCCAGCATTTGTAGCTTTGGGTGCTTACCCTGCTTCTTTAGGCTGGTGATTCATCAGGTCTCCTTGTCCCTAAAGACGTGATAGGTGCACGATAATAAATACAAAGTGTCATGCGAGAGGATATCTGGAAGCTTAAATATCCACTTGCCTTTTCAGAGCTGATAGATACTGGGTTCCCCATTTCCTTAGCAATCCCCACAGTAATTGAGCGCTTCATTTCCTACGACTTCCCTGTAATGTGCCCTTGAGTCAGATTTCTGTCAGTGGTTCCAGAAATGCAAATGACTTCTTAGCTGAGCGTGGAGGTGGATTTGATAATACTCTTGCTGGGCCAACCCAAGCAGATTACTTTAATTGATATTTACACAAATATTTTAATACATCATCCTGGAAATAATTTTATCTGTTTAGAAACAGTATCCTAAGGGTGGATCAGGTGACACAATGCAGCATGTAAAATTTGAGAAATAAATAGGGTGGTATCTCCCAGAGGCCCCCAATTTTTATTGAAAGTGAAGATCATTTTTTGTTAGGTTAAGAGAACTTTTAAGCTTTTAATGTTCTTCCTGCCTCGTAGCATCGAAAATGCATAAAAGGGGCACAGATGGAACTGCCGAAATGCTGTCGGGAAGACAGTTACAAAGGATTGGCTGTTCTTCCTGTGTGGGGCCACGGGTCGCAGGGCTGCACAGTTCCCTGCCGATCTTGTGCGGGCAGAGACCGTAGGCGGGAATTCCATCTCATGGCTTTGGAATTCAGAGCAATGGCAGATACGTTTCACTCCAGTGGGCTCCCTCTATTTACACTGCTTCTTCCAGCTAACCTAGGTCTGATCAGCACTGAAGAACTTGGTGGGGGCAGGGGAGGGGGGGCGTCAGTACCAGTGTCATGAGAACACTTCTGTGCACTGTAGGTTGTGTAGTGTTTTTCCTGTTCCTCATTCTTGAGTCATTGGTATGGAAACTGGGGATAATAGTGTTATTCGTTGTTGATGAAAGTTTCATTAATTTCTTAAGACCATGGAATTCTGAAACTGAAAGGAAGATTCAGGGATGAGAACAGTGCTGTGTGCCTCAGTGAGAACCCAAGAGGCGCTCAGGACGGTGAAGTGGATCGTTCCTACTCATCCTGTTTGTGAATTAGATACTGGCTGTCCAGGGCGACCTCTTGTTCCAGCACCTTTTTTTTTTTTACTGCATAAACGTCAGAATACTGTTTTCTGCTGAGTAAGAGATTTGACAAGTTCTGTTCATAGGAATCCTTTCTGGGTGTGAATTAATTTCCACTCTCTCTCCTTAGGCGCTATTGTGGCCCCTGGTAAGACTCGAGGAGGGTCACCATACAATCAGTTTGATATCATCCCGAGTGACACACTGGGTGGCCATACGGGTCCTGCTGGTGATAGCTGGTTACCTGCCAAATCTCCACCAACAAATAAAATCGGAAGTAAATCCAGCAATGCCAGTTGGCCTCCAGGTATTGTCCAGGCAATGTTTTGTTTTGTTTTTTCTGGTGTATCATTTGTTTTTAATTCTTAATTTTGGGTTCTGAACAGATTGCTTTTGCCAGTTATTAGCGCACTTTGTTTTCTCATTTAGTAATTGTTGTCTGATAAAAGCAAGGCATATTCTATACTCTGGGAAAGATAGGAAATTTGCATTAGATGGGGTCTCTGCTCCATTGAGTTCAGTCAGGAAGGTACGGTGTGGACACAGATCACCTGCAGGGCAGGTAACTGTGATAAATACTAGGCAGAGGCATAGACAAGCTGCAGGAAGTCAGAGGAATGGAATTTGGAGATCAAAGAAGGTGATGTGGGAGCCGGACTTAGCACTCGTCCGTGCACAGGATGCCTTGTAAGATGGGATCTTCTGAAATGTCCATTTATTTGGCCTGTTTATTCATGAAGCAAGTATTTATTATCAGGTTCCAGGTGTGCAGTAGTGGTGTAATGAGACTATTACTTTTTTCTCTCTTTTTATTTTGATGTAAGTAATCTATTTCCATTGTAGAAAAATTTTAAGTTTAGTTAAGCAAAAATTAAAAATTTGTATATGTCTTTCTAAAATCTCTTCCTATATGGGTATATTTGTAATATGAATATGTTTAGTTTCCTTCCATTAAAGCAGGCTCATAAAATGCATATTGTTTGTGTATAATACTGTATTGCTCTCCATCATGATTAGGAAAACAAAAGCTTGTTAATCCTATCACATGGCTTTAAATACGATTTAAATTAACCAATAAAAAAAATTGTAAACACACGTATTCTAGGTTTTCTCATTGATAAGCCAGCTTATTCCTGCTCTTTGTCCCTGGGTTTCCACATAATAGTGGTCACTTGTATTGTGTTTTCTTCCGTGCATCTGAGCCACTTTCTAGTGAAATAAATGGGAGAAGTCGTCACTCATCTCCAACCCTGATTTTCTCCCAGTTCTTGTTGTGGATGCCTGGACAGTTCTCATGAGCACCAGGTTACCTACCCCTGCCCTCGCTGCCCTCGGGCCCAATCTTCCCTGGGAGCAGGAAGAGCCGTGACCAGGACCAGACACTGATGAGCTCTGGCTCAGAGCCACAGAGAAACCAAGTCAACGTGCTTGGTAACACAGAGGTGCTGGCGCAGTACCTGCTCAGGCTGAGTTGTGGTGTTCAATTTTATGATAAAAGTCTGAGATGAAATAGATTCAGTGTTCTACTTTTCACAGATCTATGCCTTGTATCAAAAACTAACTTGAGGGGCGCCTGGCTGGCTCAGTCAGAAGAACGTGCAACTCTTGATTTCGGTGTTGTGAGTTCGAGCCCCACATTGGGCGTAGAGATTACTTAAAAATAAAATTTAAAAAAAAAAACTAACTTGATTTTTATCATTCTTTGAACAACCTCCTACCTCTAATATTTGTTCTCCTTGTTTCAGAATTCCAACCAGGAGTGCCATGGAAAGGTATCCAAAACATTGACCCTGAGTCTGACCCCTACGTCACCCCAGGAAGTGTGCTGGGGGGTACAGCCACATCTCCCATTGTAGATACTGACCACCAACTTCTGCGGGATAACACCACAGGTAAATGAGCGAGGCATCCTTTGTGTTTATTCAATACCCAGCATTTGCCTATCTGTCAATTTGTGGCTTCATTTGCACCTGCTAATAATCTAATAATTTAACCAGAAAACATACAAATATGGAGCTCTTCAGGGTTTTTTTGGATACTTTTTTAGTATATTATAATCTTCCATCAAAGGCTAAATACAGTACTTAAGGTTTCACTGGTTATACTGATGTCTGTCTGCAATATTTTCATCTTGTTCTTCCTGTGTCACCCAAAGGGTCTAATTCTTCCCTCAACACCTCGCTGCCTTCACCTGGTGCCTGGCCCTACAGTGCCTCTGACAACTCCTTTACCAACGTTCATAGCACTTCAGGTACAGTCTGACCTATTTGTTTCCCTTTGGCTAGCACTTTTCCATCAGGTTCCCTTTTACAAAGGAAATGGGCGTTTATTTCTTAAGGAGGACTTCAACAGAAGCTGAATGGCTAGGTCAGCCTGAATGGAGGCACACCTCTTTTGTTGTCCATGTTCTCAAGGAGCTTCCAGTGGCACAGACAGGATGAGACATACAGCTTTAGGACAGGGCAGATGGTGACATAATTGCAGGGAGCCTTGTGGGTATGGAGAGGGCAGAGGTTAAATCTTTGTGCCTCAAGTGCTTTTCTTGAACCAGTCTGCCGAAGGAATCATGGGCCATGGGAAGAACCAGGGAAGTCCAGGTTGTTATTCCTAAGGTAGCCAATTATGGCTTCCTTTTCTACAAAAAAAATCCTTCCACTTATAGACAAAGGCTGCAGGCAGATGGCCAAGGGGAAAAAAAGAGGCCCTTAATTAATTCTACCAAAAACATTTGTTGAATTCCTTATACGTATGTGTGGTTTTTTTTTTTTTTAGATGATAGGGAATAAAAACTTAATGGATATAATAGAGCCTTTGAAGTCACTCACTCCACACACTGCCTCATAGATTGGTAGAGAGATTATTTGTAATTGGCACCTTGGTCTTACAAAAGTTAGACCTCAAGCCATTAAAGTCATTAAAGCTTCTGTTCTGTGTCCAAGCAAAAGCAAATGGAACAAATCCTCAGCTACTCTAAGACACTGTAGGTGAACTGCCTTACAAATTGTCTTCTTTTTCTTTTCATGTCTGTGTCATATAGACAGGGTCACAATAACCTGTGATTTATTGAATGCTACTGGAGACCAGGCAGCATGCTAAGCCTTCAGCATGAATTCTTACCTTACCTTCACCAAAGTCTGGGAGCAGGTCCTGGCCTTCTCCCCATTTTGAAGATGAAGAAACTCAGACTCAGAGAGCTGATATAATTTGCCTCAGGTCTGAGCGAGTGTGTAAAGGCACCAACCCAATAATCCATGTTTCTAACCACCACCCTACATTATACTCTTGTGGGACTTCGTCCTTTACATGTAAAAACTCATTTTTCAACTCAGCTCTTTTATTCCGGTAACTGCCCACGTCTTCAGTTGAACTGTTTTATCTTTTTGTCTATAGTTGGACATTCACCTGAGAGATTACCCAAGGATCACCTCAGAGGTGTCTAAACTGAAAGTATACTTTTCTGCATCACCCTCCCCCATTGTTTTTCCTAACTAAGTCTTTCCATTCAATAAATGTCTTAGACACCTCCCAGGGGTGTGTTCTGCAGCCACATCTCCCATCCATTTCTTCTGCTTCATTCTACTTACTGTCACCCAGGATGAGAGCCAAGTTTAAACACTATATACTCAATCTAGTAACATCCTCATCGGCCCCCAGCCTACCTTTCTGGCCTTCTCTACCTCTGCACCTGTGAAATACTGTTCAGCCAGAACTGGGGGAAAACATATTTGGTACAGATAGAGTTCAAAGTGGACATTGGTCTATATTTTCCTCTCTCTCTGAGCCCATCCATTTATGTAAATCCTTCCAGACCTGTCTTTGCAAAGCCTTTAGTGATGGCCGAGCAGTGTCTTCTCTGTGTATTGAACATATGATGCCTGGGGTTACCAATTCTCTTATTCTTCTGTTCTGTCTTCCCATGTGAACTTGAAGTTCTTGAGAATGTTTGTATTACCCACAGCATTGATTTAGTGCCTTAAAGCATAGTAAGCCCTTAGCAAATATTTTTTGATTGCTCTTTAAAAATCTGTTTGAATGTTGGGGTGCCTGGCTGGCTCAGTCAGTAGAACATGAGACTCTTACAACCCTGAGGTTGTAAGTTCCAGCCCCATGTTGGGTGCAGAGATTACTTTAAAAAAATCTTTTAAAAACATTTTTGTCTGAATGTTGATAGCTAATAATCTGGATCAAGAAAAGTATAAATTTCTAGTGTACTTTCCATTCAGTCAATGAGTATTTATAGAATAGTTTTACTAGGGTTCACATTCTACTATGTCTGTAAGACTAACGATTTTAGGAATACTTCCCTTGAATTAATCTTCCCTTTCATGTTCTGTTTGGCTAAGAAAGTAGTAGAGAATTAGTTATCATATTAAATCTTTAGTTTATGTGTTGTCAATTCAGAGTGATAGTCATTGAAATTTTTATATTTAATAAGCTCAAAGGGCAATGTTACTTTGTATTGCTACTCTCAAAATGTGTACTTATGTTTAGAATATTATTTATGTGTATACACAAAATTTATGTATATTGACGAAAGTGACCTATCTAACCTTATCCCTTCCTTAATGTTCTCTTCTTTATAGCAAAGTTCCCTGATTACAAATCAACATGGTCCCCAGATCCCATAGGACACAACCCCACTCATCTCTCCAACAAGATGTGGAAAAACCATATTTCCTCGAGGAACACTACAGCGCTGCCCCGCCCACCTCCCGGTCTGACCAACCCCAAACCATCTCCCTGGAGCAGCACAGCACCCCGATCAGTCAGGGGGTGGGGGACCCAGGACTCACGGCTTGCCTCGGGTGAGGAGGATCTGCCAAAAGGAGCATCGTTGTTCAAACGCAAGGGGCTCATGTTAATACCAAAAAAGACATGAAGTCTTCACAAGAGAGGCAGTCTGGTAGAGGAAAGAGTATCTCTTGAGTGGAAAGCTGTAGTCAGTCTAGGACAGAGAAAATCCAAGAACTCACAAGGGACTGATGGCGTAAAAATGATGACCAGCAGAGGGGGAGAACATTAGGAGGAAAATGTCTTACCAGTGAGATGAGAGTGCACAGGGTTCAAGGTGGAGGAGAAGAGAGCTGGCCATTAAGTGACAGGATGAAGGGGGTCAGAGGGAAGTAGAAAAGAGAAGACACTTGATAACAGGAGAGAAGAAACACGTGGGCTATGTGAAGATGTTTCTCACTCGTGGCTTTCTGAATTTTTTTATTGCTCTTCCTGATTGTTTTTCTGGTTGCTTCAGCCTCTACCTGGAGTGATGGTGGTTCAGTTCGTCCCAGTTACTGGCTGGTTCTTCACAATCTCACTCCACAGGTAATCATGCTTCCTTGTGATTTTCGGGACAGGACTTGATTGTGTTAAGAGAGGGAAACTCAGGTGTGGAATGTTGGCAGATAAGATTAATTTCCTGCTCGCTACAGAGAGGCCCAGTGTGCAGGGGTGGTTCTCTCCACACAAAGGCTCGAAGTCTACTCCTGAATGGGGAGTGTTGGCCCAACAAGGCTTAAGGCTCAGTATCAACCATTTGTAATGCTTCATAAATAATTAACCATCTATCTCGGCAGTAGAAGGAATCTGTCAATTTCCTAGCTTAAATGCCACATGGGTGCTTTCAATTTTCCATCTGTTATTCTCTTCTTTGTAGATGGCATTACTAATTTGCTGTCTTCAGAACATGCCCTCTGGGTCGTTTTTACAGTGATGGGTTTCATTTGCCGCAAGCCACTCTGTTACCTTGTTTGCTTGATAACCGACATACTTGCAGCAGTACTATGTCGAACACTCAAATGAGATTAAATGAACCCACTGAAACTGAGCCCATGACCTTTATTTGGACTAGACAGCACAACCTTTTACAACACCTAGTTAAAAGGAGTCAATTATGCCTCCCTCCCTTTGACACATAAAATGAATTGTCTAGCATTTAATTCATAAATGGATTCATGCACACTTTAGTAAGCCAACATTTTCTAGAGTGTTCCCATGGGATATTAATAGGTCTCTGGCCTAATATGTTTGGAATATACTTGATTAAACAAAGAAACAAGGTTTCTTCACTATGAGACTTCTTAGACCCTTTAATATACTAACATGTATTATGATCCTCTGTGGGGTAATACAGCTTCTCGTAAATTTACAAGCCCAGTGAATCTGTTTGTGGGGAGTGTACCCAGGGCTTGTATTTCAGGGTACATGTGGAGAAAAGCGATTTCGTAAATATAGTTAACATGAGAAAGAGTCTGGGTTGGCTCTTAATCTCCATATCAACTCAGCTAAAAGCCCCAGGTGGGTTTTTTTTAGCTAATAATTGACTGAAGTATGAAGATTTCATATGGCTGTACTCAAAACTATATATGCCTCATTAGAATATTTTTTTAAATATTTTATTTGAGAGCAAGCACGAATGTGGGGGAGGGGAGTGCAGAGGGAGAGGGAGAAGCAGATTCCCCACCAAGAGCCCAACACAGGGCTCGATCCAGGGCCCTGAGATCATGACCTGAGCTGAAGGCAGACGCTTAACCGACTGAGCCATCCAGGCGCCCCAGAATATGACAACATTCTAAAAGTTGTCGCTCCGTGTGGTGGATATATGGTTAGGATGAGAGAGACAGTAATGGATACGCTGTTTTGAAAGAAACCTGGGGAAGCTAACCAGGTGTTCACTTCTGTTTTATCCTATGAAAAATAGTGAGTACAGAGGCGCCTGGGTGGCTCAGTCGTTTAGCATCTGCCTTCAGCTCGGGTCATGATCCCGGGGTCCTGGGATTGAGCCCCACATCGGGCTCCCTGCTCAGTGGGGAGCCTGCTTCTCCCTCTGCCACTCCCCCTGCTTGTGTTCCCTCTCTTGCTGTATCTCTCTCTGTCAAATAAATAAATAAAATCTTAAAAAAAAAAAAGAAAATAGTGAGTACATGTGTATATATGTGTAAAATGAATCAAGGGGTTGGCTGTGTTTGTATTAAAAAGAATTGCTTAATTTTAAAGCTCAAAACTACCTAATAGACTAATCTCGATCATAGCTTAGAAGAAGGTTTTAGGGCAAATCTTAGGAACTTGGATAAATTTGCTTTCATCGCCTAAAATCTGTTTAGAGGGCATCTGTGCTGGAAGGTCACTTGTGGTGTACTCTGGGCCACACTCATATAGTTGCTCATCATTTTCTGTAATTTGGTGAACCTGCTGGTTTCTATGGTAAAACCACACGATGTTTCCACTGCTACCACCAGTAACAGTTTTTGAAGGCTGTTCCGATAGTAATCTGTTTCCCTTCCAAAGAAATGAACCCAATGTTGGACTCAGCAGCCTATCTCAACCTAGTTAAGATCTCGATACAAATAAATTGATCAGAGTGAATAAGTAGATCTGTTCATCCAAGTCCTGGGTGAGAGAAACTATCTCGAATCACTGGACACGAGCATCTGGATAACACGAGGCCGAGGGCAGCAGAGTTCACAGAGAAGTAGGCAGAAAGTCTCACCCTGGGGTGGCCAACGTGGGAGTCGGAGGACACCAGCTGGGTCCACGATCTAGGTCAGCCAGCAACATCCTAAACCATCAGGTGTGGTTAGCAGTGCTTTCTTGTGTGTATCTTCCTCTTCCGCTCCCTGTGAGATCATTAACTGGGGGAGTAGAGAATACTACATTAGTAATGATGCCAAGAACTTGGCATGTTCTCTTAAGTTCTTATTCACGTGCCATCTTATTTCTCCTTTCTGAAGTCTCTGACAAATCAACACACATTCACTTGTTTACCTCTTAAGGAAAAGAGACTGCAGGTTGAATTGTATTATTTGTTTTGAGCTGTGTTTTTACAGACTTTTATTTCCGATATGGGCACATTAGATCCCAGCCCAGTGCTTTGAATATCTTAAAATCTGCCTTTAAGACCTCTATTCAGTGCACTCTTTCCTGCTTTGAGTTCCTCCTTCCTTTTTCAAGATGAGTTTAATGCTGATACCGTTATTTACACATCAGAAGTCCTTTTCTTTCTCCTACGTAGAAAGGCCACTTGTGTTTCGTTCACACCCCTCCTCCAGGTTTTAATCTCATGAATGTCATTACCCCTCAGATTGATGGGTCAACGTTGAGAACCATCTGCATGCAGCATGGCCCACTGCTGACATTCCATCTGAACCTAACCCAGGGCACCGCCCTGATCCGATACAGCACCAAACAGGAGGCGGCCAAGGCCCAAACCGCACTGCACATGTGAGTACCCATCCTACGCTCACTGAGACAAATACGCATGAAGATGCACACGTGAGTAGTCTGCCACCTGCTTGATTAGACACAGATGCACAAGAACATGCACAAAAACAGCATCATGGCAATAAGCAATTGCTTGGTACTGAGGGGACTGATCTTTTCTACCTACCTAAGCGTGGATTGTCCTGTGTATCTCATAGGCCACTCATCAGAATTCCAAAACCAAAGAATTTATGAAGTCATGAAGCAGTGAGTAAATTTTAAGTACCATGAAACAAAGCCAGTATTTAGGAGAATGTGAAACGTCGTAAGCGCTGTCACTTTTTGTAACAGAATCTAGCAACTTACCTTGGCTTCTTTGTTGGTGAAGATGAAACACAGTGGTCCGGGTGCGTAGCACTGATTTTGTCTAAAGTAGGTGGGACTGGATCACAACTTTGACTATCCCCCCTCCCGGCTGCTGTCAGACTGGGAGCCAGCAGATTCCACGGCAGAAGCTACAAACAGAGCGAGCAAGCAGTGGTGAGGCTCAGGCAGTGAACCCAGTCCTGACACAGAGCAGCGGCACCTCCAGATGTCTAAAGCTGGGTCACCTTGATACTATGGTGTGACCTTTCACCTCCCATGGGGGAGAAGAGAGGTGACATTTTTCTCCACATAGGTATTCCATATACCAAAAGGTTACATGGTACCCTCTAGGAGTCTTTGGATGATTTAGTGATACTTACTGCTTTAAAACAGTGCCTCTCAATCACCTGGTCTGGTTAAAATGCAGGTTTTGATCCTGTAGGCCTGGGGTGGGGCCCATGATTCTGCATGCAAAAAAGCTTCCAGGGAATGTGGAAGCTGCTGGTCAAAGGAGCACACTTTGACTCTCGAGGACTCAAAACCCTCAGTCCCTATGGGTGCTTTAGGATTCCCTCACATCCATAGCTCTTTCCCTCCCCTTTTTCCTAGGTGTGTGTTGGGAAACACTACCATCCTGGCTGAGTTTGCCACCGATGATGAAGTTAGCCGCTTTCTGGCACAGGCTCAGCCGCCTACACCTGCAGCAACCCCAAGTGCACCCGCCGCAGGTTGGCAGTCGCTGGAGACTGGCCAGACCCAGTCGGACCCCGTCGGACCTGCTCTGAATCTTTTCGGTGGGTCCACAGGGCTCGGGCAGTGGAGCAGCTCGGGCGGTGGCAGCGGGGCCGATCTTGCTGGCGCTTCATTGTGGGGGCCCCCAAACTATTCTTCTAGCTTGTGGGGAGTCCCAGCTGTGGAAGACCCCCATAGAATGGGCAGCCCTGCTCCCTTACTACCTGGTGACCTTCTGGGAGGAGGGTCGGATTCAATCTGAACTTAGAACTTTCAACTCTGACCTCGTGACCTTTTTTGGAACAGCAGCAGCACTAACTTGACCTTTTCGTTTTTTTTTTCAACTTGCAATAAATACATTTTTAAAAGGAAAAAAGAAAACGGAGAGAGGAAAAAAAAGGTGGGTCATTGACAGACTGTCTGAGCACATAGTTGCCTCCCTTATAACTTCAGTTTTTTCGTTTGGAATATGAATCCAAAAAGAGAACATATCACTCTTGAAATACTTGAATCATGAACGCCAACCTAGAAAGACAATGTGAAGCAAGTACACATACCATTTAAATTTAAACACAAAAAAATTAAAAAAATTAGTTTCTAGTTTTTCACTTTTTTCATGTTATATGGAAGTTGTTGCTAAGAAACATATATACTGAAAAAAAAATAGCTTTTTAACTTTGTTTGCACTGGGTGTGTTTCCGTCCTTAGGTCTACCACGTTTGGGAGGGAGGGGAATTCAAAAGAATTGTTGGGGTGGGGGGGGGAAGACTTGACGGAGCCTCACTTTAAAAACAAAAACACAAAACCTAAAAAAAAAAAAAAAAGGAAAAAATTTGTGATTGGCTGGTTGATAAATACCAGTGTGTTCTGGCACATGTAACTGCCCAGGCATGCTCGTTCTGGTATGTGTGTGCACGTGTGTTCATGTGCATTCGCGTGCATCCTTCTCTCTGTCTCTGTGTGTGTGTGCACCCGTGTTCTCCTCCCCCACTCGATCTCAGAAAGCTGCATTGCTGACAGTCTGCAGGCTGGCTGGCCGGCCATCTGCTTTTTATTTTATTTTATTATTATTTTTTTTTTAACTATCAGAACACACAAGCACGGGGAGCCACTGCTTACTAAAGCAACTCCGTTGGGCTGCATTAAGATGAACAGAGTGCTTTTTAATGATTTAAGCAGGGAGCTCCTTTCCATTTGCAAATTAGCCTGAGTGAGTTTTCTCTTGCTTTTCTTTTGACCTAGCAGTAGAGCGGAGCACTGCCAAGTCCAAAAAAGTAGGAGAGCAGGAGGTACCTCTTGGAGCAACTGTGTGTTTATTTATTTCTGTTTTTAAAGTACGTGGCCACCAGGCACATCTGAATATCTGTTAAGTTTTTCTTTCGTTAGTCTGAATGGGAACAGATGATATAAGAGAGTTTTTACTTAACGCCAAGTCTCAAAAGCAGAAGAACCATGTTCCCCCTTTCTTGTGTCATCAGGTATGAGGAATTCATCAGAGAGTCAGGTAATGCCGAATTAAAGGTTTCCATTGGTTCTCTTTTTCGTTTTATGAAAACGGAAACAAATAGGTTGTGAGCAGCCTCCTGAAAGCACCTGCAGCTTCTCCCTCTCTGCTCCTCTCTCGCTGAGCGTTACCTGTGCCAGGCCGTGGCGTGTTACAGCACCAGGCCATCACTGACAGAAACGTTTACTTAACGAATGTTCTTAAACCAGTGTGTACTTCAAGCGTTTCCTTTTGTTTCTCTGTGTTGTGTATTTCCTGTGTATGTGGTTTTGCTTAGGCAGGTATAACTTAGCAGAGACTTTTAAGTATTGCACCTTTTTTTGGTTTTGACCTCTTTATTTTTTTTTTCCTTGTAATGTTGCTTTTTTTATTTCGGTATTTAAAGACTTTTTTTTTTTTTTTTTAAAGCATCAATGTAGTAGTACTCTGGGCCGACTAGGGGGCAACTTTAATCCACAGTTATCACCAACATGTATGTACTTATGTTGGAATCAACATGTATCAAACTGCTTTTTGTGAAGAGTTCTAGCAGACCCGAAGGGGTACCCCTTTATACAAAGCAGATGGCTGGTGGGGCGGGTGGGGAGGGGGGAGGGGAACGTATGCCGGTAACGTGCTAGCACTTGTGTGGACATCCCAGTCTGCATTATACTGTTTAACATAAAGTGCCGACATTCTGTACCAGCAAATACCTGCCCATTCCAACCCTTGGTGGGAGCAGACCTCTACTGTCCTCCGTAACTTGCTGCTAGTGAGGACAAGGGAGTTTTTCTTTCTTTAGCATCTTCAGTGAAGGATACAACAATGCCTAATGTATTTGACTTTTAGCTTGTGTCTGTGTGTAGGTGGGTGGGTGGGTGTGTATAGGAAAAGGCAAAACTGAACTATTTGCATTTAAGTGGTTTTATGAGACAAAGAACGGGAATTCTGTAGTCCTCTGGCTTACCCTGTTGATTATAAACCTAGCCTCAAAAGAGATTGACATGCATAATTCAAGTGAGCGTTCGCTCATATAAGTCTTTATGCACCCTTTGTGGGTAGGTGGTCAAACTTGAGTCTCCAGCGTTGGTTCAGTCCTATTGGATGCCTTGTAGAAAACTAACTGTGCCCTCTTCCTGCTCTCCGGTTTTCATCACCACCACCATGCCCCTTCCACCTCTGCCCACGTACAAAACGTCTCCTTCCAGCCCCCTCCACCTGCTCTCCGTGTGTGGAGCAAAACCCTGTGGTGTGTGGTGATGTCCAGGTGGAGAGCAGCTGTGTTCAGCCATCTACAGAAGGCAAAATCTTAGTGGCCCTGGGCCAGGAGCATGTCCCGAGGCTCCCACAAGCCCGTGGCGACCCTGTCCACTGCCGTGTCCTGCCCCCGCCCCCCCTCCTGCCTGCTGGTTCCTTGGCCTGCACTATGGGTTAGTTGAGTTCCTTACGATACTACGGTGAAAGCCGGGTGCTAGAGCCCCTCTTGTTTACAAGACATAATGAGGGATTTGAAATATGTAAAAATAAACATGAGAAGCTCAAATGTTCTTCCATCTTAAGCTTAAAGGGAAAAAATTAAAAACTTAAAAAAAGACCAAAAAGTGCGTATATATATACATATAAATATATATTTTAGATGAAGACTAACTCTGGGAGCATTTAACAGTGTTTTTTTGTTTTTGTTTTTAACATTTATTTTCCTGCTTTAAAATTTGCAAGCATTCTCAGGAATTCTAGGGTAGGAAGCCAGTTTTTTGAAGATGGTTTATTTAACCATATCTTATCCTAGATAGACGGCTGTTTCTTTCCTGTTAATAAACTTTTACAAGTTCCTGAAACTTCAAAAAGTTTAAACAATTTTTACTTAAAAAAATGTAAAAAGAAAAGTCTCCAAACATTATTGTCATACTGGGGATCACACATTTTAAAACACATAGAAAGAAATATTTTTTAAAAATTATCAATTTAGCAGCAACAGGTCAATTCGTTATCTTAAAAAATACGGGAGAAGGATTAGCTTTCTAAGAGCTTTATCACGGATTTGTTTGAAATTGTGTGTCATTTGGTGGGAGTGTTTGGTTTGTATAAATGGGAATGCCATCACTTTGTTCCTTTCCATTTAAGAGGGAACTGACATCTCCCCTAACGATTGTTAATTTTTTTTAAGGGAACCCTTCTCCCTGTCCCTCAAACCCCAGCAACAAAAGAAAGAAAGATAGAAAGAACAACTTAGAAAAAAAGAAGTAAACTCTAATCTGTAAAATAGTACGGTTGGATTGCTGAGAATCTATGTAAAGAGCTAGGAAATATAGGTTAATAATTTTTGGAACAAATTTTAAATATAGGCATCACTAGAGGAAAATATCTATGGACTGTTCTATTAATGAAGAATGTCTGTCTTAACTCCCCGCTTGTTATGGGAGGAGGAGAAAATAAGAAGAATCTAATAAGGAACAAGTGATTTTACTTTTTTAGCTCCCAGCTACTGTTGTGCTCATTTTAATTGCTGTTTTGAAGATCTGCTGCTTAATTATCCCCATCCCTCAGCTGGAGATGTGGAGTATTTCCTTTCAGTTTTTCCTGATGTTGAATTCTCCTTTTGTATTCCCTCCTGGGGCCAGGGGTCAGAATTCCCAAGCATGACCACAGCTTCTTTTAAACATCTAAGCTTCCCAGTGGGAAAGAAACTCCAGCTCGACAGGTAATGGGAGTGGGTGGGGTTGCTGCCTGCAATTTCTCTAAAACCGCTATAGTGCCTTCGTACATACACCCAGACATCCTAAGCAGGAGGAGCTCGTGTGTATGTGCATGTGGTCCAGTCACTCCACAGACATTAAGTACGTTTGCCCATTAAGGAAATTGGAGTGGTTCTGGATAGGCCCCAAAGGCAGTGGGCTAAATTTAAAATAAATAAACAGAAATCAAGGAAGTTAAATATGCTTTCATGTCTTGATAAAGTGGAATGCCAAGATCCTTCCTTGTGTTATTGCCCTCGTTACTGTGCACTGACTTCTCCAGGTGTGTCGTTTTGACAACTACATACAGTGATTTGGAAAGTCTGTTTGTGTTGGGCCAGTAGAAAGGGGTTTCTGTTTTTCTGCTCTTGTCCTTCTTTGTCTCCTCTCCTTCCCCCCACCCGCTCCCATTTTTTTCGTCAGCTTGCTGGAAGCTTTGCTTTATTGGTTGGCAGTGACCTAAGAACAGGATATAGTGAGGATATAATGGAAGAGAAAAACTCTTTCCTTTCCATGGTATTCTTTGGCAAGAGCCATGTCTGCTGAGAGGTTAGGTGGCTTCCATAACACTTAGAAAATTTGGTGGGAGCGGCTTCTCTTCCACCACATTCTGGCATGTGTACAGAGGTCTGCTGGTCACCTCTCATTATGTAGATTTATCTTGTAAACATTTCGATCGTGTAAATTTGAGCTTTCCAATTTTTACTAGTTTCCTTTATTTTTTTTTAAACATTGAATACTAGTGGCTGGAGGTACCCATCTTTCAAACATCACAAACTTGGTTTCGGTCTACCACATGAGTAGCCAAAAGGAAAAAGCACTCATGGGGAAGAGACGTCTTCCATCAGACTGGAGACCTCTACTGGCAATTGAAATCCAGTGCCATGACCTAATTTTAGGTGTTTAAACAAACAAAAAAAAAACAACAACAACAAAAAAACAAAGTTCAGATCTCCGAGACACTGTGAAGAAATGGATGGCCTGTAGGGCATCTCTGATCCCTCCATACCTACCCTTGATCTTTTCCATTTGCAGCATGCACAGAAGTTAACTTAGCAGTGCTGCATGTTAAGGTTCCAAACCAAATTCTTTCACCAGTGTCCCCCAGTAAATCAACATTATCCATTGATTGCCATCGATCAGTTTTATTTATAGCAGCTTAATTTTCTAATTATATGGCTCCTGTTCTAAGAACTTTCCCACCTCTTCTGACATGAATGTAGCATAAATTAGTAGTTGGTTCTTCCAAGTTCCTGTGGGTTGAATGCAGTATCTGAGATTATGCAAAAAAAAAAAAAAAAAAAGGAAAAGAAATTCCTACCTAAGAATTTGGAAGAGCTTTTATTAATATATCTAGCAGAAACTAACATTTCACGGGCTATTGACGTGTTGCAAATATTCACTTGAATTTTTGCCATGGGGGGGCAGTTTTTATAAGGTTAACAGCCAGATTCCATATCGACCTCAGATGCTGTGTACTTTTTAATTTTATTTTTTTATATTTTGCCATCTTGACTCTTCTCTTAAACAAAATGAAGATGTCTCTGCTGAGCAAAACACTTAAGCCAAGCCTGTTTTCCTCTGCAGTGTAAACGAAATGTTTTCAGCAGACTTGGCTGTAATAGCCATCTCTAAGATTAGGGAACAATTGAGTCTTCATATAGAAAAGGTCCCCTTCTACCCCATCCTCAGAGTTCAGATTCAGTATATAACACTTTGTAGGTTATTGTTTGGATTTTGGGTTTTTTCTTTTGTTTTAACTATCTATAAGGTCTTTTACTAGGAGTAGAGATGCATTTTTAGCTGGTTGGGGGAAAAATCAAACTTTTTCTTCTCCAGTTTTTGCCAAGTTTTGTCACACTTCATGCCTATGCATTAATTACACTTCTTAGTGATACTGCAAAAAGAAATCTTATTCTTGAATTGTTTTCCTTCCTGTGAGTGTCTTGCTGAGGCTGCATGTGATGGTGCAGTTGAAAATATTCCAGCCTATGTGTCCAGTGAATGATCAATCTATAGACCTCAGAACCCATTCAGAAAATAGGATGCCCTCACCCTCTGCTGCACGCTGCACCACACCCTCTTAACTTTCTTACCTACAAGGACAGGGTGTCCACACAGTCTAGAAACAGGCAAATATACATAATGTTGTCAAGAACATCATCAATCTATTAAAAAAAAAACCCACATAGAATGTTCTCTGTATTTCCAGAGTTAGTGCATACCCTGTAATAAGCTCTGTAGGTTTTATGGCCAGTGCCAAAAGTGTGTGTATTTTCAGAGATGGTCCCTACTTATTAATGATGGTGGTGTTTTCTTGACCTTGAATTTGACAAAGGGGGTACTGGCATCACATTCTTTAGATTTAAAATAACGATCAACTTCAAGAACCTATGAACATAATAATATATAATAAGTTAATAAAAATAGAACACTGACCCTCCCTGCCCTGCCCACAGTGCTTCCCCTGCACTGCCTTCACTGCCAAAGAAAAGAGGCCATGAACATTTCCAGGTTGGCAGAGGGAACACTGGTCAGGAAACAGAACTGCTCCCCACTGGCCGGGCATTCCTGCTGTCCTTAGGTGAGTGGTCACTTGGACTAGATCTGAAGGAATTATCAAGTATTCTAACATGTGAGTGGTTTTTAAACTGTCAATGTCTTGTAGTATCCTCCTACCACCACCACTTAAAAAAAAAAAAAACGAAAATGACAGAAGCTGCCAGTGTTTGCCGCACAGAATTTAAATAGTTCTTGTCAGTAAGCCACATACCTGAGTTTGTTTTTAACGAGAAACTCTGCACACCAGGAAAATTTGTACCACCCTGACTCAGGGGTCTCTGCCAGACTCCCATCGTGGGGTCTTCATTGTGACAAATGCTTGTTTTGTCCTTGGGAGAGGAAAGGTCAGATGAAGGCAAGAAGTTTCTGTTTTAAATAAAAAAGAATTAGTGTTTCCCCAAAGCACTTTGTGCCTCAGTTCAGTTTTCAACGCTATCAGTCCTCGCTTCCCCATCCACTGGCCCGTCTCGAGCCAAGGTTAATACGTTGAGACTGTCTTTACAAAAAGAAATTCCTCTTTACTGCTAATGGGAACAGCAAAAGAAAAATTGTGAAGATAGTTTACAATATCGTTGTAGCAGAGTTGTGAATCGAAGTGCTTTTCTTTCCCATCTCCCCTGCTTTCTGGGACCTCCCACAGAATCTGGCACGCCTTCTCCCTGGGCTCCTGACAGGTGTGTACGGTTCTCTGAGGGCTGGGTTGTAGGAGGTCACTGGAGGTGAGCTGGAGCAGTCTTAACTGCAGGACTAGCCTTACAGCAGAGCTTTATGAAGAGAGTCTATCCTAAATGTGTTCGCCAAAAATGAACAAGGGGGGGGTCTTTATACAAAACAAAGCAAAAACCTTTGGAATCCTTCAAGAAGTTATGTACCTTTTAAAGGTAGTAGAGGTTCTCACCTTGCCAGAAATTTCAGAATAAGTTGGAATAAATGTGTTTAAAACACCACTCCTACCCCCCCCCCTTTTAATTTTGTCCAAGGAATTAATTACTTAAGTGTAGTATTTCTGAATGTGCCTTTGTGAGTACAGAGACCATCTGTTTTAGGAAGAAGCTAACCGTGGGGATAAGACAGAAGGGCGGTCAGCGTGGTCTTTAGGGAAGTCAGCGATTCTCCTGGCGGTCCCCAGGGGCAGCTCTGGAGTTTTCATTAGCATCAATATTGCACAGTGTAGAGTTGTGTGGAAGAGATTCTGGGGCTCGGGAGGGAGAATGAGGTGATGGTGCACAATGACAGAGACCCAGGTTCATCCAAGAGTGCAGGTTGAATTTATCTATCTGCAGTACCTAGTTTCCTTCGTGTGTGTGTGTGTGTGTGTGTGTGTGTGTGTGTGTGTGTGTGGCTGTTTTAGTTTTTGTTTTTCTGTAAGCACTGGAGAACTGAAATATGGTGATGTTTGTGACACATTCATGCATGTCAAGAAACGTTTTCTAGCTTCTGCCGTGTGTGGGGGCAGGCAGCGCATTTCCACCCTCTGAGTCTGTGTTCTAAGAAGGCAGTTACTTTCCTCACATCATGTTGCTGTTTATGCGAACAGGGTATTACACGCAAGGAAAAAGCTTTTGAGAGAATAAGATGGAAATGTTTGAGAAAGAAAAGAGAAAAATCTGAAATCATATTTTATTTCTTCAGAACTATTATAGTTAAGCATAGAAATCTGCAGTGTCTCTTCATTTGCTTTTGTGTTTGTTTTAAACAATGCCACCTCTTCTCCCCATGCCCTATCTTCTAAAGAAACCGCAAGTGAACACTAAGGGCCATTTCCATAATTCCTCAGAACTCCCCAAAGAGGAAAACAATCCCTCCCGCAAGATTCCTTCAGCTTCATTCAGGAGACAAAGGGAGGAGAGATGCGGCTTTCTGTGCTTCTCTCTCATTCCTCTCTAATGGCCTTGAAATGTATTATTATGCAAATGTGAATTTTGATACTGAATTTAAGAAGAGGTTGTTGGATTTTTTCTTTTTTCAGAAAAAAAAAAAAGGTCCCAGATGTGGTCATCATTGCTTCTTTATTTTGTAACGTGAATTGTAACTATGCATTCTGCAAAGGGGGGGTGGGGAGGGCAGAAAGGGGAAGGAAGTAGCTTTGCATCCTTGTTCTACGGTTTCTGTGTCCATGGTATCCGTACATCCTGGCGGGGAAGGGGAGTGAGCCGGAAGCAGTCAAGTCGGCACAGTGAGGTGGAGAGAGACCTGGAGCCCTCCCCGCAGCCCCGGGGGGCGCCTGCAGTTCCTGTCAGCTGGTGTAGTACAGGATTCTCCGCCCTAGCCGCGCAGTGTTAGCCCAGGGCGACAGGGGGCCCCCCGGAGGCCCTAGTGTTTTCTGGGAAAAAGTACTCATCCTTTCCTGAATTCAGAACCCTTTCAAGCTCAGGAAACCATGCCTCACTCGTGCTGAACTTAAAGTTAATCTTTCTGTCAATTTCCAGAACTCCTCCTGCTCCTCGCTCCTTTTAATTTTTCTTTTTTTCTTCCTTAATCCTTTTTAAGTGAACTTATTTATAAGGAAACTGCCCTGCTCTGTGGGGAAGAGGACTGTTGCTTGGCAGGCAAAAAGAAGTCTCTTCCTCATCCACGACCCCTCAGCCCAATGTAATCTCTCTGCTTCCTTGCGTTTATTCCGCTAGAGAGCTAGTGAGCCATGAGGTGCTGGACACAGGAACGCCTACAGCCGCCTCCTTGTCCTCGTAGAATTCCCTTGTTGATTTTGCCTGTGGTGAATCCTGGCACCTGCGTTGCTCTTGTCTAGGCATTATTTGCACCCTGCAGTATCATAAGCCAGAGATTGTTCTGCCCATATTCAGTGTTTCCATGCAAGCAGTTTTTGTTGTTGATGTTCACAGTACTGTAACGAGTAACGGACTTGATCACAGTCTCCTCGTGCCCAGTGCAGGGCTGTACAGGCACGATCTTATCAGGGTTCCAATCTGTTCGATTGCCTTTAGACAAAACACAAAACAAACAAAAAAATAAGATCCTGACGTTTCAACTGTCTGACACAAAACAATACCTCGAGGTACATTTCCCCTGCGATGTAGACCCTTAACTCCCCTCTCCTTCTCTGACATCAGTGGGTTATCCTTTTTAAAATATGAATGTGTAAATAGTGGGATAACTTTTACAATTTTTTTCTTTGCTGTGAAAGTAGCCCTGAAATATGATATTTTTCCTTTTTTTTTTTTTTTTTAAGCCATCTGAAGTTTCAGATCTTCTTTCATGCTTAAGAAGAGAAAGCAGAACAGGTCAGGGGAGTGGATGTGCATTTGTGGGGTGGTTGTCTCTCCACTGCCTCCCACACACAGTGGCAGCCGACCCGTGTCCAAACCCTGTTTCGAAGAGATGCCATCTATTCCAGATCTAGTTCCAGGGTGAGGAGTGTCCAAATTTCTCTCTTCCAGAAGATCCATCCCCTCCAGGCACTCCAGGACGTTTTTTAACCTAAGACCTTGAGCTCTCAACCTTTCTTGCTTCACCCACAGGCTCACTTTTTGAGTAACCGAGTAGCATTCTGTGGTTCATAAAGGGACTCATCCCTGGCATTTCAATTTGGCACTGTAGAATTCATAGACTTATCACTTTGCAATGCGTTAGAAATGTATTGATTTCTTACTTAGAAGGAAATTCATCTGAGACGTGCAAACAACCTTCCTGAAAGGTGTGGGCACCCTCAGGCATTCCTCTGAATGCCTTTCTACGTGAAGCTTGAAGCTGACATTAGGTAGAGGGAAATAACGTTTAACGAATGCTGCTTGTAGATCTGTCAGCTACAGCTCTCCTAGATTTGGCGACCCTACAAGGCAGGGTCAGAATAGATCGTTTTGAACAGCTTCTTCACAAACGCCTCTCCCTACCCCCCCCACCCAGCATCTTAAAGCTAAACCCTGTATCTGTTTAAAGGCCCTTTTTAGTTTGAGCTCACCAATCTTGTATAGTGACGACTTCCTTCAAGGGGAAGAACCTTGAGAATAAATGCACACCTATTCACCACCCACCTTCTGATTTGAGACGCTATCCACCTTTGGATTTTATTTCTGTTGTTTGTTTGGAGGCCTCTTTTCTGTTGGTCTCCTTCCTCCAGTCCCCCATAAGTTCTTACTGCCCTTATATCCATCCACAATGCTCCCAAAGGGCTTTGCTGATCTCTGCACTTCTTTCCTGGGACCCTCCCTCACCACCACCCTTTGCACACACCAGTGACCAAAGTGTGTCCAGTGATCTCACAGAAGTCGTCAAAAATGATGCCTGCACCACGAATGTGCTCACAGAGACACGTGCACAAGATTCTGCACCCTTGGCCTTAACCTCTGTATGACTTAAGGTGCAGGAACATTTTTAACAGGTTATTTAAAAAAAAAAAAAATGCTTCTGGGAGGGGAAAAAAAGGCAGACAAAACAGCTCAATTGTGCCCACTCCTAACTCTACTATTTGCCTACAACTGAATTCTGTGCCCACCCCACCCATCCCTGTTTTGAGTAACCAAAAAGAGACAACAAAAGCAACCTGAGGAGAGGTTTCTGGACTATTTTATCTTTCTCCATTTAGCTGGAGATATAAATGCTGCTTTGGGTTCCATAATCCTAGGGGCTGTGTTTACATAGTAAAATATATCCTACCAAATCAGGAAACAAGCATGGGGATCTCTGCAGTGAGAGAGAGCTAATTAGGTCGCCGATGGTGAACAAGAGAAGTGCGGGGGTCCGGGGGTGGGGGGCACAGGAGGGAAGACGGAGAAGTGCTCCCCTCCTCCCTTCACTTCTCTCCTTGGCCCCTTTCAACAGAAGGCACAGAGAAAAGCATCAGAAAGAGGCTGGAGTTTTAAAAGGCAGCTTTCCAACTTTGCACACAAACAGGTTAACAGGAAGGTACAGCAAAAATCCTCTCATCTGAAACAGCAGAAACAAAACCTACCAACCTGACTCCATAGTTGCACATAGTGACGCTCTCTGCAAGTTACCTAGAAGTGTTTTGTTTTTCTTATACTTGAAATAGCTTTTACGATGTTACTTTGGCGGCTTTCTTTTCTCTCTCCTGGCGGGCAACAGAGGAAGCGGATGATGGCATCCAAGGAAGCGTGAGGGGAGAAAAGGAAGGATATGGCATTGTCTTTTTTGTGTGTGTTTCCTTAAACATATAGAGGTTTAATTGAACTCCCATGTGTTGAAATTGCTCCTCATATTACTGGTTTTACATGGACACAGAAACTAGGCACTTTAGAGGTGCACTTGCATGGCAGGCTGGGCCCCCCTTTTCTCTATTTTATTTTACTTTTTTAGTATAGTGGTACTTAAAATCACTGGTTCACTTAAAGAAAAAAACAAACAATAAAATGTTAAACTCTACTAATGTACAAATAAGCTGAAAAGTTGCATTTTATGTGTATTTTTCGCCATAGCAGGTACTGTATTTCTCATGCTGGATTTAAAAAAAAAAAGAAAAAACCAACAAAAAAAAAAACTAAAGGGTGGTGTTTATTGGATTGTGACAGGTTGCGTACTGAGGAACTAAGTCGCCGTCATTTCATTAAAACTGAGAGATGATGTAATGCATATATAAGAGTTTTCTGAAGGGTTTTTTTGGGCTTTTAAACAGCTTATTTTTGTTTTGTTTAGTTTTTTATTTTATTTTATTTTGGAAAGATATGATTGTATTATGTGCAACTCAGTTGCTTACATTATAACTACAAAATATTTTTGGGTTCCTGGAAAAAAAAAAAACAAAAAAGAAAAAAGACTAATAAATGTGTTTGGCTGCTAAGCATTGATTGTGGTTTCCTGTTTTATTCTGCCGATTTAGTTTGTTGAAGGTTTATGTTCTGTTTCTTCTTCTCTCTCCCTCCCTGCTCCACCCGCGGAAGCTCCCTGAAACTCAGCAACTGAACTGGGCCTCCATTGTGTCTGTTTGGCCCTGTGAGGTTTTGGCTGTTGGGGTGGTCAGCGCAGCGGGGTGGCGGTGGGCCCAGGCTCCTCGCTGCCTGCCCCCAGTGCGGGGTCCCCAGTCTCTTAAAAGAAACTGATGTTCTCCTTCTGCCTCTTGTTGTTGTCTTGTTTAATCCCTACTTGCCTTTGGAGTGAGAACCAGGAGAGCAGAGAGTAATGCCTGGTGGAGGCTGTGGCCGAGAACCAGCCAGCCCACTGTTTCCGAAAACCCCACGCTCTGCGCCCCACTCTGTTCTGAGCGCTGCTGGCTGGCTGAGGAGGTTGCCCCCATCCCAGCAGGCTCTTATATATGCTTAGCTGCTAAAACAGAGACTTGTTAGACATGTGGCCATGAAGCGCCTCTAGAATGGCAGAGGGGAGGAACGGAAGGAAGTGAACATTTTCTAATTCCCAGGTACCGTTGTCTGACTTCATTCTCAGAATGCTGTGCCAAGCAGATGGTAGCGAACCCATTTCATGAGGAAACCGGCTCAGAAGAACTTAATTAGCTAATAATAGGGAACACTGATTGCTTGCTTACTATAGACTGGGCGAGGCATGTAATGTACATTCACTTATTTCATTGAAATTCGTCTCAATCACTGGTGAAGCCATAACAGGAATCCAGACAAGATCCAGAAGTTACTGTGCCGAAATGCCCTCTGCAGAAAAGCACCTGGGTTTCTGAGAAAATGTTCTTAAGCGAGTCTATTGTAGAAAGTGGTAGGCCATACACCTTCCAATTCTTGGGTGGTAAACTACGTCAATGCTGGGAAATGTGAGACGAGGTGAACGAGATGCTCAAGAACACCTTGAGGGCTCATCTGTTCCAAGCAAGTGCTATTTCTGAGGAATAGAGATTGTTGCAGAAACTCCGAAGACCTGTATCACCAAGGACTTTATTTTAAATTTGGGGTATTGTAGAAATGTGTCGATGGCTAAGGATGGGGGCGTTGTAGAATGAAAGGTAGTGGTTAAGACTTCAGCATCTGACTCAGCCTTCCTCACGCCTGTGGGCCCTGCCATCACCTTAGGTGACTCCCAAGTGTCCACATGGGAAATCCGCCCTAACAGCCAGGCTTCTACGTTTCTTCCTCCAGACCACCCCAGCCACACACTCCCATAGTCACCCCAAATTGCTCCCCTCCAGAATCATGAATTTCAGCATCCTTGACTTTACCCTTGTGTCTTCCCAACTGGTTCTCACTCCTGTGTTTTAAAACTCATCAGCCACTCCAGGACACTGACCTATTTACTTTCTTCTAACCCATTGGCCCTCTCTTTCCTCCTTCCTAATGCAGGTTAGGTTTTATAGCCCATAATTTCAATAACGTGGTTGCTAACACCTCTAAATTCCCTTGCTGCTCCTGTTTTGACAACCATGTGACAAAATCCCCACTTTGGAAACCCTACTCTCTATTTTCTGCCAGTACCCAAGAGCAGCATGGCTCAGAAAAAAAGTCACAATGGGGCCAATAAGGACTCCTGTCAGTCTGTAACCAACCGGCAATGAGACCTTGACGCCACGCAGCGAGTATCCTAATGCACAGAGAAAGAAAATGAGAGGTGTCAGAAAAATCCCCTAAACTCCCGCTTCCAAAGTATAATCAGAGAGAGGTGCTTCCCCCTTCAAGTGCTGCTTCCTTCAGTGTGTGGGACCCTTTCCCTTCCAGCCCCCTTGGGTACGTTTGACTCTCCATCATCCATTTTCTCTTCATGTGTTCGGCTGGGACCCCTGGCCAGTCGGCATGCTCAGTCAAGTCCATGCTATTGTAGACACCCTCCTGTGGGCCCCCGTCTGGCCCCTGCCCCACCAGCTGCTGTCCCATGTTTCTTCTGGAGAAATTTTCTCTCCTCCCCTTCCTGGGTCTCTGCCTCGATTATCGTTCCCCTAAGGTCACTAACAACCTCCCTAGTCCAGTGGACACGGCCATTTACCTCTTGATACCACAGCCCCTGGATTTCCTTCTATGCTCTAACGTGTTCCTTTACCTCTTCCATCTCTCTCAGCCTCTGTTGCCTTGGCCAGGAAATGTTGGATTTTGTCAGCGCTCAACCCCAGGCGCCGCCTTGTTCTCTGTGCCAAAATCCTAGGTGGTGTCCTCCTCACTGGCCGCCTTTCTTAATCCCTTTTTTCCTCTGACTGAGCTCTAAATTTTAAATTTTGGAGTGCCCCTAGGCTCAGGCCCAGTCCTGAGTTTTGCTTTCTAGTCACGTTGCTCCTCCGAGATGAGATCAACCAGCCCTGTTTTTTTGTTTTTAAGATCTTATTTATTTATTTGACAGAGAGAGACACAGCAAGAAAGGGAACACAAGCAGGGGGAGTGGGAGAGGGAGAGGCAGGCCTCCCGCCGAGCGGAGAGCCCGATGTGGGGCTTGATCCCAGGACCTGAGCCGGAGACAGACGCTTAATGACTGAGCCACCCAGGTGCCCCAACCAGCCCTGTGTTTTTAAAAATACAACACATGTTGCCATCCTACCCAAATTATATCTCCAACCGTGGCCTTTCTAATGTCCTGTCTATCCAACTGACTCACTGTCTACTTCCAAGTCTAACGGTCAAATCCCTCCACCTTCCTCGTCAAATCTATCTCCCTGGTCTTAACCATCTCAGTAAATGGCACCACCATTCAAACTCACAGCTGCTTCACACCACTAATTCAGCCATCAGGAAGCCCTTCAGCTGTATGTTAAACATACTTACCCACACGGTCCACATCTTCCCACAAGCAACTCAGGTCCAGCCACCACTGCAGGAGGCCCTCCCCGTCTGCCGTCCTCCCCTCAAGCCCACCCCAGATTTCTCTGCTGGTTCATGTCACTACCCTCCAGGGCTTTCTCCTTAAAATAAAAATCCAAATAAAATAAAATAAAATAAAATAAAAATCCAAACTCTGCCATGGTCCACAAAACCCATGCTCAGTCTCATTCCCTGTGATTCTCAATCTCAATCCTACATGACCCCCGTTCGCTTTCCTTCTCTCAGTCACACCAAACTCATGCCCACCTCAAGGCATCATATTTATTTTTCCACTGCCTGGAATGCTTTTGTCCCTGCATCATTGTGTGGTCTCTGGGCAAATGTGAGGTCTTAACTTGCTTATCCCATCAAAAATAGCTGTCACTAGGGGCGCCTGGCCGGCTCAATAGGAGGAGCATGTGACTCGATCTCGGGGTCATGAGTTCGAGCCTCACATTGGGTGTAGAGATAACCTAAATAAATAAACTAAAAAAAAAAAAAAAAGCTCTCCCCCCCCCCCCCACCCTAAGTTACTCTATGCTCTTGTCCTGCTGTATTTTCTAACAAGAACTTACCACTTTCTTTTTATTATTTATTTGAGAGAGAGAGCAAGCACAAGGAGGGGGAGAGAGAGGAGCAGAGGGAGAAGCAGACTCGCCACTGAGCAGGGAGCCCATGAAGGACTCGATCCCAGGACCCTGGGATCATGACCCATGCCAAAGGCAGATGCTTAACTGACTGAACCACCCAGGAGCCCAGGAGCCCTGGAACTTATCACTTCCTAAAATTATCTTGTTTATTCTTCATCTTCCATCTTCCTCACTGGAATGTAAGCACCGCACAAAAGGCAGAATTCTTTTTCCTTTTTAAATTAAGTAGGCACCATACCCAACTGTGGCTTGACTCAACGACCCTAAGATCCTGAGACCGAGTCCTATGCCAGCCAGGTGCCCCAAGGCAGAATTCTTTTCTGTGTTGATCATCAGCTCCAGAGCCTAAAACTCCTATGGTTTTAATTACCATCTATGTGCTAATGACTGCTGAATTTATATTTCCAGCCCTTACCATTGGGCTCCAGACCTGGATGTATAATCATCTACTCAACATTTCAAAACACCTAGACATCTTAACAGCACTGCAAACTCAACACATCCAGAACGGAAGTCTGTCCTGCCTGCAGCCCCTCCTCCCACCCCATGGTATGTGGCATTATCATCCATTCAATGATAAAACCTAGAGACCTAGGAGCATCCTTGACTCCGCCCTGTCCCTTACTCCCCAGAATTAATCCATCACTAAGATGGATTGAGTGTAGCTCTTAATCTCTTCCCTTTCTTCAATTCCTCTGCTCTTACTTCTCTCATCCAAGCTAGATCTATACCCTTAGGTCTTACCTAGTCCACGGCATTAGCCCAACTGGCTTCTCATGTGTCATTCACCCCAGTTTCCCTGCCCCTGATCCATTTCATACATAACAGATGGGATATTTTCAAAACACAAATCTGATTAAGTCACCCTCCATCATTAAAGCCTTTTAATGATTTTCCATTGCTTAGAATAAGACCCCCAAATATCTTTGTTTCCAACAAGGATCTCCTGGTCTGGCCTCCATCTACTTCTCCAAATTTACCTCCCTCTCTTCTTGCCTTTGTCCTCTACCCTGCAGCCTCATCAGCTGACCACTGTATCCCAAGGCCTAGTACAATGCCTGGCACAAAGTATGCACCATTGAGGAATGAATGATCCTAATGGGTAACAGGACATTACATCAAGAATTTAAGAAAGAATGACGGGGGCA